GAAGCAAAGGGAGCCCCCAAACTTATAGCCTGAGCCACAGCATGCATGTCCCTGCTTTTCTGGGATGTGTGTCTGGGTTACAAACTGATTTAGCCAAGCCAGGTTAGACTAACCTACAAAGATTGAATCAATTCAGGCTCGGGCTTTTTGAATGTCTGTCCCTAGCCTAAGTGTTTTGTCATATTGACCACCTTTTTTTCCAGATTTTCCTGAAATGGCATAGGGGATGGTGGCACTAGCTCTACCTGCACACACATTCACAGCTTAGCACATGGCTTGAGACTGCTTCTCAGGGGGATTCTGAATGATGACAAGAAAATTAAACTGTTAAAGAGAGAAATGCATACTGCTTTCCCAGTGTCATCCCTAGGCACAGTTCTGAACTGGTTCAAGAAGATGTAACCATATAACTGTATTGTGCAGTATTTTTCCTTTTTCTTCTTCTCCCTTATTCAAGTTACTGTGGAGATTGTATTCGCCTGTCTTCAGCTCTTCCAACCAGTGGAGAATAAAGATAAGACAATTCTGGGTTCAACAGGAGGAATTAATTTTTCACTAATCTTGAAAAAGTAACTCAATTTCTCTGGAATTCTTTCAAACACAGTGCAGGTGTGATGAGCTGGTTCTCAATAATGAAGACAGCCATGTTACAACCACCCAGACTTTAATAAATAACCTATTAAAATTAGGAAGTAGAGATTGACCTACTCTAAAAACAATATACTTGGCAAGGTTGTCAATAACACTCCATTTATTTTACTCTACTCTGGTAAAACAATGCAAAACTAATGCTGGCTTAACCATCTCCTTGGGGATTTCCCCAGCACCAAAGAATCGTCGGGTGTGGTAGAGTCACCATGGCAGTCCACAGACCGACATGATAGTCACTTCCACAAAAAATTGCGAAAAGAAACAGAGTTCCCATGGTCATCTCAGCAGACCTGGAAGTGGACTCTTGTGTTTGTATGAGAACATTTCTTGGTTGCTGAGAAACTGTACTCAGACCCTGAACCAGAGCCCAGTAAAGTCAGCAGAAGGAAACTTGTTTGATTAGGTGCTAGAAGGTGCATGTCATAAATAGATATTCATGGTACCCGTTCTCCTAAAATTTAACGTTTGCATTAAATCCATCCAAATTATTTTTATTTTTTTTTAACTAAGTCAAGAAAATGTGAAGCCTGTCAATTAAATACAGACAGGAAATATTTTTGCAAATCCATATAAGCATGATAAGCCTCATCCTGAATGATTATACTGAAGGCTCATTAAACCCAGTGAAAACTGCATTTATGGTCTTGCAGGATTTTCAGAATGCTATCCAGATGGCAGTGCATTACTTCGGTACACACTGACTCTTGGCTTGGAAAGGAAGCATATGAGGAATGAAAATGGAAAACAAATGAAAATCTAAAAAAAAAGATGTAAATAAAAAGGAAACAGCAACTAAACCATGACCCAGATTCTGCAAAAAACACACTGTTTTCTCACATACAATATGTCCCCAAATAAAATACACACATTATTTTTGGAAGGCAGAATGTAGGAAAAAAAAGACACTTATAGTCATGACTGACTGTGTGACATACTGCATGTTCTCCAGGGTGCATAGGATGTCTGGGAAGTGTGGCACCAGGAAATTTCTGGTAGGGCGGTGCAAAGCTTCAGTCCCTGATTTGATTTGGTGGATATTTGGCCCAATTTGGTGGCCAAATCTCTGAATCGAATCAGGAGACCCTTTAATCTCTCCAAATCAAATCAGAACCCTCCAAATTGATTCAGAGAGATTTGGAAAGATTCAGACATATACACAGCTTTAAATGTTTTTTCTATATACCTAGAGGTACCAGGCGGCCTGTGAATGCTGTTATGGTGGGGCAGATGGAGTGTCCCACAGGAGTGTGGGGGGCTCCCTAGCAGGCTCAGCAGCAGACCCAGAAGTGGACTAGAAGCATTTCTGGTCCACTTCCTGGTCTGCCAGGGAGCGCGCTGGGGGGCCCCCCTACGCCTTCCCAGCTCGGCGACTGGTGCCTCCTCGGTCGGGGAGGGGCACCAGGTGTCCCCGCACAGCTGATCACTGAGCTGGGTGGGGGGACCCCAGTCTACTTCCAGGTTCACTGCCAAGCACGTGGGGAGCCCTCCTGTGAGACGCTCCATCCGCCCCATCATTGCAGCGTTCACGACCTATGCCTGGTACCTCAAGGTATGTAGAAAAAACATTTAAAGCTGCATCTATGGCCGAATTGCTGATTCTCTGAATCGGCATCAAATTTTCAGATTCCGATTCGGCTGAATTGAATTGGGGACAGTGATCTGAATCAACAAATGAAATCGCTGTCCCCGATTCAGACCACATCTGAATTGAATACAGCCTGTTTAACACACCCCTGGTGCCTGATGCAACCAGACTATCTTCTGACATGCCACACTTTCCAGACACACTGTCATACAGGGTTAGGCCCCAGATCTTTGCAAGAGCTAACAAGCAGTCCTAGCAAGACTGTTAGTTCTTTACTGTAAGTAGTTATTTATATAATGTCCTGTAAGCGTGTCATTCCCACATCACAAGCCACATCAGGATACTACCAGCAGCTCACTTGCTGCTTCAGGCACAGGTTATGTACTCAGCCAATAGCTACGGCTGTGAAAGGCTAACACAGGACTCTTCCATCTTGGCAGCCGTATGGTATTCACAGCGTCTCCAAACTTGCCTCTTTTCCAAAATAGATTTCCCACTTAAAGCATGCACCACAGCTTTGGAGGGCTGATTTTTTGGGGGGGAAAAGTTGTGTATTGTGTGTTAGAAATTATTGTATACACCTGACTAATTTTATGTGTATGGATGGTTCTGCTGACTTCTGTGGCACTGCTTATACATATTAAGAGCATGATTAAGGCCTCCATTTTTTTGTCTGTCTTTCTCTTTCTCTGTCCTTTGGTACATTAAAAATAAGCTTTACAAGTCTTTGTAAGTCCAAGCTTTTAAAATAGTTGCTTCTTTTCCTTCCTAAATTGGTTTCATTTTTATAATCTGACATTTCAATGAAATCCTGTGAAATCATCCTGCACTCTCTCCATTGAAATAGAACTACTTTCTATCACTTTAAATGAAATGTAAAAATCCCAAATGAGCCTTTTGGCTTTATTTTCCCAATATTTTCATGTGACACCAATGTTAATGAAATGTTCAACAAAAATGCACATTATACAACTCCACCCACAATGATACATGGTTCAGACATGTGACTTATGTTTGTTACAAAGCAGCGTAGCTAGTAAATTACCTGCACTTTGATAATTTGTTAATGAGGATGAAGTCTGAATCACTTTCTTGCTCAGTTAGGTGAGAAGTTTATATCGAGTAAATGTGAAGCTCATTACCAAGCCTCTGCTGACTTAGTTTCTAATCAGTTAGGTCTATCCCTTGTCCTCAGTGATCACACTGAATCACCCAGACATGAAGTGTCTTTAATCACAAAGCTGTAGCACAGTGCTGTATAAACACTTTTGGATTAAATGTTTTCACATGAGGGTTTGGCTCTGAAAGATACAGATTTCTTGGTGCATATGAGATACTGAATTATCTATCTGCTGCTTCTTATAGATATTAATGAATGCGTAACAGATGCACACAACTGTAGTCGCAGGGAACATTGCATCAACACAATTGGATCATTTAAGTGTCTTCAAGAACTCAGCTGTCAGCCAGGTTATGAGCTCAAGGAAGGTCAATGTGTTGGTAAGGCAGATACTTTTTATATTTTAATTACTCTCACTACTTACGCTATGCTCATTTAAGGCCCAGTTTTGACAACCCTGTTTCTAACATTTGATAGATCCTTATTCCTTGAGCAGTCCCATGAATATCAGAATCTGTCTTCTCAGTGCTTAATTTTTGCATAGTTCTTTTATTGCAAACTGCTGATATCAATGTGGTACTGGTGGCAGATTGTCTCCCGAGAGGAGAGAGTTTCCAAAACTTAGGAAGCTTCTAAGGAAACTTAACATAATGTTAAAAAAAGAATCTTGGAAGAAATATAAATCTCAGGCTTCACTTCTTAAACCAGTAGCTTAACTTTTCCTGGGCTACTTGATTGCATGGACCATGGATCTGATCCAGTCTGGTATGAACACTATGCTTGTATTCTTTTGAACATTTATTATGGGTGTGGAGGTAAGACCTCTTGTCTGCCTTCTCACATGCAGGTCCCTGCCCAGCCCCGTGTGTAGGGGCCCAATGGAGAGTGTTCTAGATTTCCAGGTCACTAGGGACTGTACAGCTGACGTGATTCTCCACAGATTTGGGACCCCTTCCTTCAGTAAATGGAGCTAGAGTTATGTCCCTATTCAGTTTTTACTCAGGCAGTCTCAAAATAGATCCAGGTGGGAATGGGCTCCCAGCTTTACTGACAATACTGTCATGTACACATATGTATGCATTCATGTACATATACCCACATATAGTGAAATCCTGGCCCCATGGAATTTTGTCAATAGTCAATAGGAATTTGTTATGGCTTCTGTGTGTGAGGCCCCTGACAGACGTTAAAGTAAAATAGGATGGAATCTGATGCAGGATCCCAACAATTGCTCTTCCTGTCATGCCACATGTCATTGCTAGGACCCCAAGCTTCCCCTGTATTGGCAAGTACCAAGCTTGATCCCCTGTGCTCTCTCAAGTGGGAACCCCAATCAACTGATCAGATCCTCCAGCCAAAGGAGTCCAGGGAAGCCCTTGGCTCTGATGTACTCCTGCAACTGGGAGCCCTGGTCAGCTGGAGAGGGCCCCAACCATGGGAGTAAACTATGTGATCCCACAGCTGCAAGCCCTGATCAGCATATTGGAGCTCCAGGCTGGGGGGAACACATGATGTGCTCCTGGGTCTGGGAGTTTTGATCTGCCCTGACCAGCTGATGGGTGCTCCCAGCCTTTGGAGCACAGTGGAGTCTTGAAAGGATTCAGTATGCTCCAGAGGCTAGGAATACTGGCCACATATTCAATTAAAAGCATGATAGGAAACAACCTCAAAGTTATCACACTTATTTGGTATAATAACTTTGTGGCTTATTCCTTATTTTATCACACCATTAACCAGTTAATTACATATTAAGTATAATGTCTGCCAGAGGGCATATACACAGATGAATGAAATCACACACATTTACTAGGCCTGTGTGAAGCAGCTAGTATTCGCTTCGGATTCAGATTCGGCTGATTCAGGGGGCAGTGATTCGATTTGGTTATTCGAATCATTGTCCTGAATCGATTCAAAGAAATCTGATTCGGAGATTCAGCTGCTGCCAATTTAGCCGAATCTCCGAATCGCACAGGCCCCATCCCCAGCCCATGCTCTCAGCCCCACCTGGCCCCAACTTTGGCTCATTGAAAAAAAAAGCCTCTACTCACCGGCTGCTGCCAGGCAGGGGGATGGGGAGAGATCTCTGCTGCCCTCTTGTTTCCCCAAGCTGCGTGGGGGGCTCTGCCATGAACTCCCCAAACCCCACCCACTGTTCCAGCCCCTGCCATGGCTGCCCTGCCTGCCCCAGCTCCCAGCCCTTTTTAAAAAAAAAATAAAAGCCCTGACTCACTGGTTCCTGCCCAGTGGGGAGGTGGGAGGGATCGCTGCTGCCCCCCACTGACCCACATTGCATGGGGGGGCTCTGTCACAAGTCCCCAGAAGCCCCAAGACCAATGCAGCAGCCGGTGAGTTCAGGGTTTTTTGTTTTTCTTTTTTAAAAGGGCTGGGAGCTGGGGTGGGTGGGGCAGCCAAGGCGGGGGGCTGGGAAAGTGGGCAGGGGTCAGGGGGCACTCAGGGGAGCTGTGAGAGCAGGCAGGGGATGGGGCCTGGCAGGGGTTCCCCCATGGTCTCCTCGTCCCTCCCCCAGCCCCCACTTCCCCCCTACTTACCAGCATGGAGTCCGGGTTCAACTCCCTGCAGGGACTGCCCAAATTGCCAGAAGTCTCCGAATCTTTTCCAAATCAATTCGGAGAGCTTCAAATCAATTCGGACCTTTTAATTGGTCTCCTGATTCGATTTGGATTTGGAGATTCAGCCACTGAATGAGGCTGAATCTCATCTGAATCAAATCGGCACCCAAAGCTTCACACAGCCCTAACATTTACCCGCAGTGAAATCCTGGCCCCATGAAAGTCAGTATGATTTTTGTCATTGCTTCAGTGCAGCTAACTCTAAGGAGAAGAATGTCCATCTTGATCTAGAAATAATATAATATATTTTTGTAGACCACTATCTTTGATATGTTTGCTTGCATCTGAAACTTCAACCTTGCAGCAGAGTATAGGCTGATGACTTCAAAGAGGCTCTGAAACTGCTGACATCCACCTTTTTGGATCTCTTTGCAGACCTGGTACAAATGCAAGTGCAAAATCTTGAAGTCTGTTAGTGTGCAGCCACAAACTAATATAATTTATATATACTACAATAACACCTTTCCAGGCCTTTTATAAATCTGACATTTCATAACCTCCTCCCCGGGAAAAAAGCAAACAGGGAACAACTGGATGCCAGGGCTAGAAAACACTGCAGCTGAATTACTTGCAAATTGGCGTCTTTATCTTTATTAACAGACATTGATGAATGTGCGAAAGGAACTCATAGTTGTAAAGTAAACTTTGTATGTCAGAATACGGAAGGATCATTCTATTGTGAATCAAAGCAGCGATGCATGAATGGATTTTTACAGGACCCAGAGGGTAATTGTGTTGGTAAGTGTGACTACAACAGTATATTCAGAAAGTGTACAGCAGTACTGGGCAGATTCCTTATGCTCATCCTGTTCAGTGGGTATACATTGATCATGTTTAATGTTCCTTAAATCTTTACTGAATTCTGTCTAAATGTTGCTACTCTTTGAAAAATAATATTATATTAGATTTGCAGACAGTTGAGTTTTAAAATGCTGCAACAGCAGATTCTCTTCAGCCCTAAATTTACTGCATAATAAATCAGAATAAAAATGAAGAAAAATAAATGATAGCTAGAAGAGTGAAAGAGTAGATTAATTTAGCAGCTGATATTGTTATGCTAATAGACTTTCTCTTCCACAGATATTAATGAGTGCACATCACTATCAGAGCCATGTAAACCTGGATTCAACTGTATCAATACCGTTGGGTCCTACACATGTCAGAGAAACATGTTGATTTGCAGCAGAGGTTATCATTCTAGTGAGGATGGATCCCGATGCATAGGTAAGAATCAGACTACAGAGTCTAAGTGCATTATCATGGAGAAGAAAAAAATTATTTCATTTCCAAAACAGTTTTTTGAAGCCATCAATTTCTATAGTTTGCACTTGCTGGAGAATTGGGAGAGTTTTTTGTAAATAAATATTTGCCCTTTGTTATTTTCAACTGCATATGGCATTTCCCACATTTCACCCCGGAACATATCTGATTCAGTGATTTGTTAGTCTCTCACTCTATTTTGTATGGCATCTTCCCATGACCTGATATGATATGAAGCATTGGCATGCAACAGGCAAGAACCAGTGAGTCAGCCGATTCAAAAGAAGCCCTAATAAGACAGATATTCCTTGGAGCACAAGAAATGACTGTTTCCCAAATTTTGAGCATAAGTTCTAACTTTGTGTTTGTAGAAAATGGCCCTGTGCACACAGGGTCAGACATTCTCTTGTGCTTGTAACCTCATGTACTTTATTACACCAGGGCACAGTGGGTGAGTTATGCTAGCAGATCAGAATGGTAAGATTTTTCCACCTGGTTTGTGCTTAATAGTGTGAAGGACCATGTAAAGTGCAAAAGAAAGAATGGGGAGCTTGATCTAGTATTTAGGTAGGAGTGCACATAACTGCAGGAAATGGAACATCCTAATTGGAAAGAAATGGAACAGAAAAGGCTGATGGTTCCTCAGTAACTTGCAGTCTACACATACACTGCTGCCTATCCTTGGAATGAACAAGGAATGCAAAATGAACAAAAAACTGCCTTTCCATGAGCATCGAGATGGGTGAAAAAACAATGTATATCCATACTTTATTTTATGACTAGGAAAAGCCAGGGGTAAAACAAAATATCTGTTGAAAGGCTAAAAGGAAGTCTCAGAGAAGCAAATAGTGGTGTAGGGAGCAAGCACAGGTCAAATGAGCCTCCTGTACTTCTCTTGCCCTTTGCTAAAACGGCTGCATACACCTAGCTCCTCCAGGGGAGGAAACAGGCAAGCTTTTGGCCAGACTTAAAGACTGGGAATTTTTAAAAATAACTAGACAAAGGGGTTAGAAAAGCTTCCCAGTTCAATTGTAAAGGGAGATGGGCTTTGTGCCATGAAAAAAAGAGCTGCACTTTCCCTTCCTTTCTTATCATTTAGCAAGCAGTGAAATATCCCAGCTGCAGCAAAGAGAAAAGGAAATACTCTTGTCCCTCATAATGGAAAGCATCAACACTGAAGGACGGATTCCCAGCAGGTATAAATCAGTGCTGCCTCAGTGATGTCAGGAAAGCTAAGTTGATTTGGCCCTAAAATACTTTTTGTAAATTTCTAGCTAATATCAGCACAGAACAAAAGTGCTGTACATGCTGGGCTTGGTCACCATGCTGACATTGCTGGATGAGCCATTTTTCAGTAAAGCAGTAGCCTTCCAAAATTCCAGAAGAGTTCAAACCACTACCAAAATCATATAGAATAGCTCCTTCTGTCTTACCTTTTGAACTGTAAAAATGCCAGACTTTGAAAAATGAGTCTAGTTGTCTTTTTATTTTCTTTTATGTTTAAATTTTTTAAAGGAAGAATGAATGACAGTATTTGTGCACCACTGGGTTGTAAGAGTGATGAGATAATATAACACAATGTAATTGTAGATGTTACCTTGTTAATTTAAATTCATGATAAAGTCTTAAGCAGCAGGTACAAGGCAACTCTTTGACTAACTTGGCACAACTAGAAAGTGCAAAAGTCTGCCTTTCCCTTCAGTTTATTTAATGTCAAAAAACCTCTGCCACATGCAAGCTCTATGCCTCCAGCTATGCCTCAGTATTTAGTCTAGCTGTTTTCTGGTATGGTTCCATTAAATACGGGAGGTGTAGGTAGAGGGAGAAAAAATAGCATATGGTTCCAATTTCCCCTATTTGTGATAAACTAGTTTCTCTAATGCATTACGATGCTTAATTGGACTTCAGATTCATATTAACTCAGAATAATAGAAATAGATCATCTGGACACATCTCTGCAGCAGAACTGATTCTGTGTGGTCATCTTCTGTTTAGACAATTCATCTTCCTGAATGTGTTCGTTTGTTCTAATTCAGCATATCAGTTAGTAACAACTGCCTCTTGCATTTAATTGAAAAATACTGTAACTATCATGAAATATAGCACACTTCTGACTGAATAATGTCCTAGAACTAATTAAAGGCTGAACACATAGGAATATACAATTTCACACAAACTAATGAAATAGCTGTACAAATGAATTAATTGAAAATAAAACTGCTAATTTGCAGATTTAAATCTGTATTAAAAACTCCCTAATGTTTATGCTTGATCTAATCTGAAAGAAAATGAAGAGAAAGCATTTAGATAAAAATCTATACCCCTTCCAGGAATTCATTCTGGGGTGTGAGGATGCCCCATTGCCACCCTAACTGTAGCACTAGTAGTCATTAGAAAAGTGTGATTCTGTGTTAAGTAAGTGAACTAAACTAATTACATCTATTTGTGGGTCCCAAAAAGCTTACTTAAGTTACCCTTAAGTGAGCCTGGTTCCCAGCAGACCTGTACGAGCAAACGTCCATACTAAAGATTGACAAGTGACAGTTTTCCTAAGATTACTTATCTTCTTCCAATATTACAAGAGCACTGTTCAGGGAACCCATCCATCTTTTGGTACTTCTGAATGGAAATTGCTCCAGTGTCTGTTAATTTGAATAGAGTAGCCAACCAGAAGAAAATTCCAGACCTTAAGATTGCCCTCCCTATTAAAGAAGGCCCCTCTAACATTAAGAGGAGGGAGTTGGGATCTCCATATCCAGTAACTGAAGATGTATATTTGGAAGTGGATGGGATAAGGCAGATCTCAAGAACTACAAATAAGTCGATAAATGCTTAAAGTTTTTTAATGTTCTGCTGCTGAACCTTTGGACACTTGCCTGCAATTGATAGCTCTCTGATCATGGTGAAATGCATGCACAGGTCCCTACTAGCTTGTGTTAAATCTCTGAGCTTGTAGATGAAGGGTGAAGCAGAGTCTACAATTAATCACCTATGAATGGAAAAGGATTGCCTAGTGTGTTGGGATTGAATTAATCATAGAGGGCTGAAAAACATGCATTTTCAAGGCTTGTGTTGGGTGAGAGTGGGGAAGAGGATCACACTGAAGTTATAAGAGAAGGTAGACAAGGGCAAGTAGAAGGGAAACTAATAGGAGTTCTGGCTAGTTCTTATATTGCTATAACTAATCTGTCATAATGTTCTGTCTCTTGTAATCAGTCCATGCTGATAAAACCACTGAACATCAGGATAACATGCATATGTTTAACAGATTTAAATGACATAGCTTGAACATAATTGCATCTCTTTTACATGGAGTAAAATGCAAGGTTCTCTGGGACATTTCCATAGTGGTGTTTGAAATGAAACATTGCCTTCATTTTATAACAGGCCCTTCTTTTGCAAAAAACTGATTCCAAGGAACACAGCCTTATATGAAGCTAACTCTTGAACAGCAGAGTTGGGGGAAATAATTACCTTTCCTTCTGTGTCAGGAGGAAGTAACAGGGTTTCCATTCCTTTTTTAAAAAAAAATACTTGAAATTTCACCCTGTGGTTTAGCACTTCGTGCCATTCAGTGAAAAGCCACTGACTTCCCCTACCATATTTAAATTAATTTTTGTCTTTTGGTTTTATAGATGTTGATGAATGTCAGACTGGTGTCCACCGCTGTGGGGAAGGACAAATTTGTCATAATCTACCTGGAAGTTACCGCTGTGACTGCAAGATGGGATACCATTATGATGCATTCAGCAGAACCTGTATTGGTATGTAAGGCACATAGTGTAATGAAAGTATTGATTGATGAGCCTTGGACCTTGAGGCAGTATTTAGTACCATTGTTTCATGTGCATTCATTAGTACTGCTGTACAATGACTTGAAAGAGGTAATAGAATTGCTTCAGAAATGGCTTTCATTCATTGTGACCAATCACTTACACCTCCACAGTTCTTGTGTGTTACGGAGCTGGTATCCTCAGTTTAGCTCAGTTGCAACTTATTGATTGAGGTCATCTGCAAAGCACATTTCTATAGGTAGCATCTCCTTCTGCTGTGGGAATTTGTCTTTCTGAAAGTCCTTCTAGAGAACAGATCATGATAGAACGTTTTATATATATCAATTAGAGTACAAAGGCAGACAGTATAAAAACTGAGATGGTAGCATTTCATGTTCTACAAATCCATCTCTGACATCTTTAGAATATTCTTCCATGTTTCTTTTGGCTCTTCTTTTCACATAGAGTGCATATGTGCTTGTTATGTTGACAGATATTAATGAGTGCTGGAATTATCCAGGCCGACTGTGTCAACACACCTGTGAGAATACTCCGGGGTCTTACCATTGCTCTTGTTCTTCTGGATTTCGGTTGGCATATGATGGGAAGCATTGTGAAGGTACTGAGTCTCGTTTTGCTTTGAAAACAAACTTTGCAATGCAGAAAAAGAGGGATTTTAGGGAAAGGTTTTGGGTGGCATTGAATGCAATGACCTGTGATTTGTGCATGCTACAGAGGATTTGAACACAGAAATTTCACAATCAGAGCATTCACATACTGTCTCTCAAAATGCAATGTGAAATGTCTATTAAACCTTTCACACATATGGAAAACGTTACCATTTGTAACAGTTGGTGATGAGTAACAGTTGTCCACTGAACCATAGATAAAGTGTTCAGAGACATTTATTAGAAAAGGAAGTGAGTGGTACTTTTTTGCCTTTGCCTCTTGCTGTCAACCTCTTTTGTAACTGCATCATCTTTTTTATTCTGGTGCTTGAAGATAAAGAAATGAAGTTGACTCTGTTGTCATTCTGCCTTTGCTTTCGAGCAGCCGTGTTTTCCCATGGCACAAGTTAAAGCTTTCAGGCTAGTTCTTATTGTTGAAAGAACTTCACTGGGGGAAAGAACAGCAGCATGAGAGATCAGGCACATAGTAGTTCTCAGACATTCTGACTATAAACAGATATTTTTGTTGCGGCATCAGCTATACTGGGATCTGTCCCGGCACAGCTGATCCTATTCATCAGTAAAAACAGACATCACCATTTTCCTGCAGGGTTGGGCCCCTGCTGCTCCTGTAGAGGATTCCTGGGGCTCACATGTCAAGTTGCCACATCCCAACAGGGAGTGCATATTTGCAACTCCTCATGGGGGTCCCTTCTTCCACACTTGCAGGATTCACCCCAGTTTGGGGCACAGCAGCATGATATTCACATCCCAGGAATTCTCTGCAGGGAGATCCCCAGGGTGCAGATCAGTAAGTGTGGGGGGGAATCGTCTGGGAGTTCTCTGCGCCATACCTGCTTAGGGTGCAACAGCACAATATGAATGCCCCATAAATTCCCCCTGCAGGGGAATTCCTGGCCCATGCAGGATCATGCCCCTTAAGCTCCAGGAGCACCTGCCCAGGACAGCTCTGGGCCGTCCATACTCTCCTGCCATTAAGCAAAGGAATCTGAAGCAAAAATAAAAGCAGCACAAATTTATATCCTCTATTGTTGCAGCCACAATATTGGGCATTTGCAGGGCAACAGCGAGCACAAATGTCTGTTTGGCTTTTGTGCCGTTATAATACATTTTATGGAAGCACAAAGAGTGATGTCTGTTTCCAGCCTAAGAGCTGCTCCTAGACTGAGTGGGAACATCTCCAGTAGGTGTATCAGAGTGGATGCATTTCGCATGTTATATTATGTGGACACATCTAAGAAAAATCCAGGGAAAAATTCCTGATCTATTTGTCTTCTCTTGCTAGGCAAGTGGATGAAAATAGCCACACTTATATTACACAGGATATATGTTAATATTAGAGCTAGTTGAAATTTTTCATTGTAAAGGCTTTTCTTCCATGTAAGATGTCTTTCAGTGAAACAAAAATTTCCTCAGAAATGTTTATATTACTTGAAACTTTCTAAGGTGAAAGTATGAAATGAATAACTTCAAACTGAAACAAAAAACAATTTTATTCTTTAGTTCTGACAAACATTGTCTCATTTTAGTTTTTTCACAATGTTTCAGAAGCAAGTCAAATGGAGCAAAGTGGAAGAAGGGGGACAAAAGGCTGAAAAAATCTTTTCTTTTTAGATTCAAATCAAACAGATAATATGATAGTGGTAGAAACTGAAACATTCATTTTGTGCATGAAATGAAAATTATGGTCGTCTTTGAATTTTTTTCTAGAAACGAATTTCTTTTTCCCATCATTTATGATCTAACTAGTTAACTGTGTAATTATGGAAGCGGCATAAATCATTATACTTCCAACAAGTAGGCCTACCAGTAGCTGGCAGAAACTTTACCTGTGTGCAGATTATTCTAGAATTTTCTGCTGTCCTCCAAAGGGTCTGGTCTTAGCTTTTGTCAGAGGCAGGGTACAGTGGTAGATAATGCTGATTTTTTGTGGTAATACCTGTTTTATTTTTGGTTACAGATGTGAATGAATGTGATAACAAACCGTGCAGTCAAGAATGTGCCAATGTCTATGGTTCCTATCAGTGTTACTGTAGGCAAGGGTATCAGTTAGCAGAAGATGGCCATGCTTGTAAAGGTAAGAGGATATTCATGTGGTTTGATACTTTTGGATAATGTAATTATTTTTGGGCTGCAAATAGTGTCTAAGGATAGTTCTGAGTTATGCCCTGCTGTAGAGCAGTGGTCTCCAAAGTGGGGTGCACGCCCCCCAGGGGGTGCGCAAGACAATCCGTTGGGGTGCGGGAAGAAAGTATTAGAACTTCTATTTCTATTTCTATTTATATAAATATACATATATTGGGGGTGCGTGCTCAAAAATTTTTTACTGGTAGGGGTGCGTGATCAAAAAAAAGTTTGGAGACCACTGCTGTAGAGCTACAGAGGGCTAGTCCAGCCTCTAGCATTTATTGGAGTAGAAGAGTGGTGCTTAACATTTTTGACTGGTGTGCTGGATGGACAATACCTGTTCCCTCTGTGGGTCAGATCCAGTCACATAGAGCAGAGAGAGGGGGCAGCCCAGCCCCGATCCAGCTGCATGATGAAAGGGGGCTTGGGCTGGCCCCACTGGGGGAGGGGGCGGGGAAGGCATGTGGCCCAGCCCCCATGGAGAGAAGGGGGCATGGCCTGGACTCAGGTTGGGGGTGGAGAGGGATTGTGACCCAACTTGGAACTAGCCACATGGGGGAAGGGGCATGGCCTAGCTCTATGGGAGGAAGAGGGCCTGTCTTAGGCCCAGCCTGGCCGGGCAGAGAGAAGGGGGCTTGGCCTGGCCTCAGGAGGGGGAAGGTGACACAGCTTAGGCCCACAGTTGGGCCATGGAGGGGCAGGTTGTGGCCTAGTTCAGACCTGCCCCATGGCAGTGTGGAGAAATAGCAATACTGGCACTGCTCCCTCACCCCCAAATTCCCAAACCGTGGGGAGTGCTGCAGGCTATATTCCAAGGCTTCACAGGCTGCATTCAGCCTGCAGGCCAGAGGTTTAGCATCCCTGGAATAGAACAATGCACTGCCCAGGCCTCCTTTGCTAGAGCTAGAGGAACATGGAGGCAGCCAAAGCACTAGTGAGATATTCTCTCACAGTATATGTATGAGTGAATAAGAATGGAAGAGTTTCAAGCAGTCTAACTAAAATCCCCTTCCCTTACCTGAACAACAGAAAACAGAATGGGAGTGTTTTTTCTCGGCTTTTGGTTTTTGTTTGGTTATCCTAACATCTATGTAGCAAACACCTGACAAACACTTGGGAGAGAATCTCTCTCCATTTTTTCAAATAAAAAGTTCCCATAAAAGTCCTAGAAGAATCCTGAATTTGGAAAGCTACAGGGGATCAAATTCCAAACTCAGTTGTGTACTGGTTTATTGCTTCTCTCTATTATTTCTAACTTGTCAGATGCTGATTTTCAAACAAGAATAGTGGAGGCAAGACCATAGTATTTTAATACCTTAGAAAATATTATGAACTGTCCTAAAGCAAGGTCAGACTTTCACATTGGCCTTCTTACTAAAGATCTTGTTTCTGATGAGACCATGCATGACATCTGACACCACCTGTGACAAAGCCATAAATGTCCTTATTTTTGACTATCCTCATTTAAATTTGTCATTTTTATTGTGAGTAATTATTACATTTGTAATTATTTCATTCCAGATATTGATGAGTGCACACAAAGTGCAGGTATCCTTTGTACTTTCCGCTGTGTGAATGTTCCTGGTAGTTACCAATGTGCCTGCCCTGAGCAAGGATATACAATGGCAGCAAATGGAAGAACCTGTCGAGGTAGGAATGAGGTGCAAGAACTGGAAAGATGTAACAGTTATCTAGTCACTCCCATTTGATACCATGATAATCATTAAAAAATCAACTTTTGGCAATAATTTCTACATATCAATATCAGAAGGCATCAGTTTTCTCTTTCCATGGAACAAAAATACAACTGTGGCAACTACAATATCACTGTGTATGCACCCAGGCAAACATTTTCATATTCAAGTGTCTAAAGCGGGGGTGGGCAAAATATGGCAGGTTTGGGTGCAGGTGGCAGCCTGTGCCATAGCCCCTGCAGCTAGTCCTGGCGTGCAGCAGAATTGGGGTGTCATGATACTTGGACTCAGCTTCCCCACAGTGGTGGCTCCTTCTGGCTGTCACTGCCAGTATCATTGCCACTGCTGGACCTGGCCTTGCATCCTGGACCATCCATCCCACACCCACTTCTGGGGGCACTGGATAGAGTAGGATGGTGGGCAGGGTCTCCATGGAAAATGGACTGGGACCTCTGTGGGCAAGGCAAGCTCGACTGGGTGGATGGAATGTGGCTGTGAGTGGGCAGGAAATGGCATCTGGGAGCAGGACAGCCAACTCTCTAACTTGCTTTCCAGCCCAAATAATTGCCCACCCCTTGTCTAAAGTTGCATCCCTGGGGAAAATTCATACCTCAGGAAATCTCTTCAGTGCAAGTTGCAGGAGTTCAACACCCTTGAATTACAACTACAAACTTAGGTAATGGGCACACATGCAATATTCCATGAGTTACAGAAGTTTTTTACCCTATGTCAGGTGCTTCACAATAACTGTGTGTGAATGTGGTAAATGAAAAGCTAATGAAGCTCATTAGGGGATAAGTTATTACATCCTAGCCCTCATTTGCCAAAGGGTAAGAGCCACGCGTCCAAGTAGTTACCACAAGCCAGCTTGACATGTGGTAATGCCCTACTGTCCTTTACATCACAGTAACTTGTCTGCACCCTCATGCTTTGTTGGGCATCTGACTTTAGGGCCTCCAGGCTTGAAAGTTCTGGCTCAAGGGAACATTAAGGTAAATAACATGTGAAATAAGCTTTCCCTCAAAATCACAGAAATGTTCTTTGGGGAACTATGTGTTCATCTGGTGTGCAGCTGTTCCTACTTGAAATGAAAAAGAAATGCTGCATTTTCAAAGGATGCACTATTTGTGTAACAATGATTATGAAGATCTCATTATGTTTATGCACATTAATGTAGTCAGTTACACTCACTGGTCACATCTACACCAGACGCTGACTGTGCAGTCATTTAGCACTTGTATAAACAAGTGCTAAATGACTGCGCAGTAACCTGAGCGACTGTGCAATAGCACCAACGAAAGGCTTTTTCGTGACACTAACTGCACTGTAGCACCGTGTCACAGGTTGTATCGTGTGATGCTTACAGGGCAGTAGTCTTGGGCTACTGTGCAGTCAGTGTCTTGTGTAGACGCAGCCACTGTCAAGTATTTACTGACATCCTAATATCTTCCCATACTGCTTAGTCCCACATCACTCAGGCTCTAATATTTCTCATCAGCATAAATCAGGTGTAACGTCACTGAAGCCAGTGGAGTTATGTTGTACAATCCTGCATGAGCTGAGAATCATGGTCTTGTGTGTGTACTTTATATGACAGTCAGAGTAAAACATTCTCGTTCTCATACAGTGGATTTGTAGCTTTAACTGTACTTCATACACTTCTGTTATGCACTGACCTTGTGAGATGCTGCTCTTTGTGCAATAACTATCATTTCCCCAATGTTTGTATTTGAACTGATGATCTCCAAAGACTGAGTCACTGCAGCTTGGGCTGACAAGCCAGGGTCTCTGTAAGCAGGAGTGACGGTAGGCCTGTACCCTGTATGAATCAAGGCTAGAGGAGGATGTTCAGGGGGCTGCATTTGCCTTGTTTCCATCATCTTAGGAAGTGCATTGTATGTCATTTTAAACCACATAAAGGGACCCCTGTGTTGTGCAGAAATAGCTGTACTGAACAGGCTATGCAGGAACATTTGAAAAGTGAAGTTTTCACAAATCTGTGAAGTCTTTCTATTTTCATCCATACACCTGTGTATCATGATTTGAATATGCAAAACTACCAGGTATCACCTACTACAAGAATATAAACTGGCACTTAGCCATGCATAAATATGTGCCCATTGTTCTGCATGGATGCCTGTATGACTTCAGCATGTGCAAACCTAGACATTGAATAATGCCAGATGTGTGTGCACAGTTTTCAAGCCTATGTGGAGACCTTTTTGAAAATGATCACGAGCATTTCATTTGCAAACAGTCTGAATTGGTATAAATTGGTCCAAATTCAAGGAAGTTGGATCAATTTATACCAGCTGGGGATCTGTTCTTCAACATTCTTCTTTTACCCTATCCTTATGGTAAAAGTGACTAATGGCACTTGTTTCGTACCATTTCTTTCATGGCATTTTTCACAGCACTGTGAACTCAGACAGATCACTTACAGCTTGTCCAGTAGCATCTCAGCATATGGATTCTTTTTACATTTCCCATCAGAGCCAAGCTAGTGATGTGAATTTTTTAATGTCATTAGTTACAATATGTTAAAAAAAAATCTTTTTCACCTGGGGGAAGTTTTGAGAAATAGAAAGGGGCCTAATTTATTTGATTCTCTCATAGTTCCCATTGCGTATCTCTTCTTGTTGGGCTTTTAAACCAGGCAGTAGGGCTGTGCAAAATTTTGCTGGGTGTTTCGTTTCGAAGCTGTTTCGACGCACTTTGAGCTTGAAACAGTGAAATAGAAATGAAACAAAAGGCTTTGAAACGGCTTCAAAATTAAACGAGGGCACTCGAAACATTTCAAAATGTTTCAGATTTCGAAGCCGGGCTTATTTGGCTTTGGTGCTGGTCCCAAGCGGCAGTGGCAGTCTCCTCTCGTCCAGCGTGCAAATCCAGGGACCGCACCTCCAGGAGGGCTGCAGGGCTGTGTTGGACTCCCTGCCCAGCGCCAGGGATGATTGATGTTTTTGCGAGTCCCAGGCATCAGAGGCAGCCTCCTGTTATCCAGCACACAGATCCTGGGGCTTGCACCCTCGAGAGGAGTCCAGCACAACCCCACAGCCCTCCTGTGGGTGCAGGCCCTCAGATCTGCACACTGGATTGGAGGAGGCTGCTGCTGCCGGCAAGTGTCAGGAGTTTTGCTTTGAACAGTTTGAGGTGTAGTTTCCCAGAAACCTCTGCACTGATCTCCTTCAAACTTGGTAGGCTTCATGCCCTCAGAAGGATCTACTGTCCCTGCAATTTGCATCTGAATCAGGCAAAAATTGACAAAGTTTTAGGCATTTTCATGATTCCTCATTATAGCCTATGGGCAAAATATCGAAACAGTTTTGACTAAACGAAACGGATCAATGCTTCAATATGAAACGATTAAACGAAACGCTCACCCTTCAAAATGGCGAAATGGAAGTTGAAACGAAGCAGTGCTGTTTCACACAGCCCTACCAGGCAGTGCTTCATGCAGTTCTTTATCCCAGAGGCTGGTGCGGAACGAAAGGCTGCAGTTTTCCTTTAAGAGTCATTTTCTTCTATGACAACTGGCAGAATTGCACAGCACTCCACAGTCCACGTGGTTTGACTGTTAACATTTATTTCATTTTAAAACCTCTGTGTGTTGTCTAGACATTTCAGAGTACGCAATGTGACTTCAGAATCTTTGCCAGTATTTTCTGCTCAAGTTGGACTCTTGTTATTGCATCTGGTTTTCCAGTGTGTTCAGTATCAAAGTTTAGTCTTTTGAATTTTTATTATTCAAGTAACACTGCTTCTGCCCTAGGACATTAAGCATCTTGCAGTTTGCTTTTCTTTGCAAATCTGTGCTGCCTTCTACGATTTTTGTCATTAGTGGAAGACATTTATATTCAGGTTAAATGTTTATGATCCAATTGTCTTGTTTTAAACTGTTGTTCATAAGTTCCCATTATTCAAAATATATTTAGAGGCAGTTCCTCATGGTGTCCTCAGATTCATCCATGCATAGAGTTATTCAGGAACAGATATTCTGCTTTTTCTTTGGATTGGGGTAGTGTGAAGTTATGTTCATGTGTAGACAAGTTCTTAGACTGAAATAATTTGCCCTTTTCCCTCTTAAAAATTAAGGAAAAGGGCCTGTTTGGTGGAAATACAGCCTAGCTATACTGTACTTGGGCTTGTCTACACTTGAAATTTGATGTGGATTGAGCTTGGTTGTTAATTAAAGATGAGTCTTGAAATTACTGCTATTGAATTGTTTTGTTCTGCTTCCTTTCTTCCTAGTTTACAATATAGTTTGCATCTTGGATGTACTGACACTTCAGGAGCAAGAGAAAAAAACAACACAAGTAGAGACATTTCTGTCTAGATTTTTGTGACAAAATAAAATATCAAAATAGAAATATGAAGAGTGAGACAGTAGGCTCTTTGGTTCTCCATTGGTTATTAAAGCAATCCAGCATTGCATCAGACTTGCTTGCTATGTGGTTAGAGCAATTAGGTTCACAGAAGTTTGTGAAAAAAGACTTGCAAAGTGCAGGGAGACAAGCTAACCCTGACTTAGCAGTCAGTAACAGACCACTATTTGATTGCAGGATGGCTGGAGTATATAAACCGTTCTCAATGGGTGGTCAGATCGAAACAATGAAAAGGCTGCAGGCTCCTTTACAACAGGGTCCCTGCCCTTCCCTGTGTCTTGTACAATGACAAGCATGTTGTCAGCTCTTAGGTATAATAAAGCATAATATCTGCAAGCAGGTAAACTAGCAATCTATTTTAATACACATTTATATTTTAGCAAGCTGTACTACACCATAACAAACTGTACTACACCATAACAAACAAGGAGCATAGGAAGCAGTTTCTGTGCCCTTGGTGGCAGTGGCAGCAGTTGCAGATGGGACAACTTTCTTGTGCCCCTCAGAATCAGTGTCTGAGGCTGGTGCCCCCATTGCCCGGCCCTAATTATATTGCTTCTCCATTTGGTGAAGCATGCTGCACGTGCGTGGAGCTTCTCAGGAGCGGATCCAGGGGGGGTGCCCTACTTTGATTCCCGGGCCATCCAAAGTTTAAAGCCAACTGCCTGGCAGTGGCAGCAGCATTTTTATTCAGGCAGCAATGAGGGAGTCCTTCATGGCTGATTATAATTTATCTGAATTCTTCTAAATTCTTCATTCCAGGTGTTAATGCCCCTCTCTCCTTTTTAATGGTCTGAATTTTCCACTAATCAAGCTAGCCTTTATTTTGCAATTCAGCTGCTCCTTGCAATGTATCTCCTATTTCTCAGCCCTGAAAAGTGTTTTTTAACTTCATCTAAAAACATTAATTCAGGTGCAGAAACATTAACTCAGATGAACATCAGCTCAGGTGTAGAAATAACTTAAATGATCCACTGTCAAGAAACTCAAGAAGGCTAGAGTTTGTTTTATTAATCTGAAAGAGATGTATATTTAATTATAATGACAACATAACTAAATAAACAATATTTTTTGATTTTTTTTTACCTAATTTGTTGTGTTTTGTATATATAATATAAGATATAGCAAACTAATGCACATTCTAATAAAGTTACATTTGTTTTTGCTTCAATCTTAAACTGAATAATATGCCCCTGCATCCCTAGCATATTAGTAAAGCTTCTAGTTTATTTTTACCTGGAGAAAAATGTATATTGTGTTATAAGTGATGAGGCACCGCACCATCTGTACCTTCCTTTTCAGAATCCTAGATCTGTTCATGGAGCTACCAGAGACCAACTGACGTGTAAAATATATGTCTGGATTTCAAATACCTGCTTGTTGCTGTTGTATTTATTACAAATTGTGTCCACAGGCATCAGGCACAGTTATTAGGCTAATCACACAGACGCAGGGAGCTAAGATCCTTCAGATCCAAAAACACATTCTCAGCCACACAGGCACATACATACTCTGGCTCCCTTGCTCCTTGCTTGGATTCATGCTTTCATGATTATGTGTATTCTTTTGGATTTGTTGCTGATTTCACCCATGTTTTTCATTACCAGATATTGATGAATGTGCACTAGGAACCCACAACTGCTCATCTGCAGAGTCTTGCTATAATATCCAAGGCAGCTTCCGATGCCTGTTGTTTGAGTGCCCTCCAAATTATAGAAAAGTATCTGACATGTAAGTCTTCTTTTATTTCTGGAGTTAACAGAGCTTCCACACCCTGGAGCTGCTGGTTTATTCAGACTGTTCTAGTGTATGGTATTTGTAACCTGCCCCTTGGTACTGTGTTGCTCCTGGGCTGTCCAGTGAACTTTTGCTGCTTCTGTTTTAGAGCTCTCCACCTTAATAGACACATTCAGTCCAGTCAGAAATCTGTGCCACATTCCGTGGGACTATCACTAATAGCATAGCAGGATCTCCAGTGCTGGGGCAGCCCAGGGCTTCTCAGCTCCTTGGCAATTGTCATAGCAGGATTCACCAAGTTGCCAACTCCCCACCTGGGGAGCTGCCCATGGTTCTGTGCAGTTCAGGGATCCTTCAGAATGAACCTACAATGGGCCAATCTGTGGCCCTCCACTGCTATAATGTAATTGAATCTGGTGTATGTTACCCTGAAAAAAATAAGGGTAAAACTGTACCAGCACAGGTGTTGTCTGTATGCAGCCTATGCCATGGTAGCTGTTCGCGTCCTGCTGCCTAGTGGTGAGATATACATAGTAAGAAACAGCCTAATATATCCAACACCAACAGAATAGGTGCTCATCCACCCACTCCAGCTCCTGGTTTAAGGTATATCAGTGGACAAAACAGTGTAAATTACAGTAGTGCAAGTATGTAGTAAGTCCATTCTCAAGTTGTAGAAAGTCTCAGGCACTCAAACATTTATTTACTGCTTTCTGGAAATGAAACAATGGGTCAGCAATTCTAGTGGGAGAACTTGGCTTCCATTCCTATCTTAAGAGTTAAGGTTTAGCTGCCTTGTAAGTATGGTTGCTTGAGATTTTATGAAACACAATCAGAGTCTTGCACAGTCTTCAATGAATCACAGATTCCCTTTCCAAGCACTGTGCTGCACACAGTATGACTTTTGTCTGTCTTTCTGTATATGCTCATTGTGAGGCTTCCAAACAGCACTCTTCATGTCCATAATCTTTGGTTTGCTGTTGTACTCTCACAATTACATCATTTAGAAATGTTTTGTGGGTCTTGTAAAAGCAGAATAAGCAGCTGCTAATTATACAACTGAAGTTTGAGGCTCTGCTGTATATCTGTCTAATACATGCCACAGGCTTCTTGTGACTTTGCAAATCATTGAGATGTGAATTTCCTAACTCAGTTACTGTGATACTGAAGATTCTTGTTTCTGTTCTCTCAGGAGGTGTGAACGCATCAATTGTTTTAATTATTTGGATTGTCAAAATACTCCTGTGCGCATCACTTATTACCAACTGAACTTCCAAACCAATATTGTTGTCCCAGCTCACATTTTCCGTATTGGACCATCACCTGCTTATGCTGGAGACAACATAATCCTAACCATCAACAAAGGAAATGAAGAAGGCTACTTCAGCACTAGAAAGCTTAACTCCTACACAGGCATTGTGTATCTTCAGCGACAAGTGAAAGAACCTAAAGACTTTTTGTTAGATGTTGAAATGAAGCTATGGCGTCAAGGAACATACACAACTTTTCTTGCCAAAATTTATATATTCATCACAGCTCATGCTTACTGAGGCATGTATTGACATTGAAATTTATTGGTGCTCTGCTCTTTAACCAAAGCTTATTACTGTGGAACTGACATTTAGTGTATCTAGCCTTTATATTATTTTTCTATCATTGCTTCAAACTTTTTTATTGGTTGTATAAATTAACTTAAGTTTTACTGACCTATTTTCTTATGTAATTCTTTAGATGAGTGAAGGAAGGGGTTTAAAGGAAAGTCGTGTGTAGTATACTAGAACCTTCTCTTAGAATTGTCCAGTGAATAAAGTAGGCTTAGTTACATCTACAGGGTATTGCACTAGAAAGGAAACCAGTTCACTTGGGAGTATCAGTTTGAGCCAGTGACAAGGAAAAGAAAACCTTGAGCAATTTCCTTTTAAGGTGTGTTGTATAAACTGGTGGTTTACTTAGCTGGTGACTTCACTGAAACTTCTCTACACTCAGATACTGTAGTGATCAGGGCACTATAAGCATGTGGACAAAACAACTAGCTGACATCAAGTTGAAGGCTTATTTTTTTGCCCAAGTGTATTGCCTAGAAAAAAATTAATAAAGCAACACCCCCTCAACTAACAAAAGTTGATTGCATTATCATGTCTTACTTCAATGGAATTATTCATATGTTTAAAGTTAAATATCAGCAAGACCAAACTTTAGGTGTGTGTTGTACTAACTCACACTGCAGTTTGTAGTTTGAACTCATCTCTGCAAAAACCCATTTTATTTAGGTTGCTCTAATCACAGATCAGATGTACTATAATTATTAAAAGAAAAGTCAGAGATGACTCATGTAAGCAACCACCACACCTTATTCAAAAGCATGGGTATGCAACTAGTTTGTAGGTGACAACATTAAATAAACATAAGAGGAGTGACTTCTGTTTTCCAGGAAAATGACCTCAGGGGAAAATGCTTCTTAAATTGGCAGGTTGTAGTATGCCATTTAGTGACAGCACAACCCAAGTTTCAAACTGGATTTCCTCTTTTTCCATAGGAAACTGGATGAGGTCCAAAGCTGAGGGCCAGATGTGGTAGTATGTACTACAATCAAAGCATCTGATAGAACGTAGAAATGAATATCCACATTTTTTAGTGGCTGATCTTACTGAAAAGCCTCAATGCTTTCTGAGCAACTTTGATCCAGGTTATTTGGCAAAATGTTCATAAGGAAAAATATAACCACAATATATGGCTGCTTACTACACTATAGTTTAATAAGCCATTCTCTGTCCTACACTAGATATTTTGACCATTGTGCACTGTATGTAAAGTAACAGGAGCCAAGCTTTATGACTTTTTCTACAGAAGCAATCAACAGTTTTATTACCATATTGTAATATATTAACTTTGTTTGTATGAGGGTTTAAAATCATATAAATGCTACCTATGGGGTGACAGGGGAGATGTATTGTATTCATTATATCCCAAGACCAATTTCTAAAATTACAAATAAGCCATTTTTATTTGGACTTTTTTACAGATAATAAAATGTAAACATTTTTGTATCTAACATAAAGTCCATGACTACAGAAAATGAATTATTTTCATTCTCTAGCTGAAAGTTTGGGGTATCTGCTAATTTTATGCATCAAATTTATGCTTGCTACTCTACCAGATTCTTTGTAAAAGTGATCTTCCTCCACATGACTTCTGCTTTCCATAGTTAATAGCCTTAAGAAATTAGCAGCAAAGTGCCAATTAGAAAACACAAGTGTATCCAGTTCATAATTTCAGTTAATGTATATCTCCAGAAATGCAGCAATGAGTTGAAGAGTCTTTCAGATGTATTACAAAGCCTATGTGTAAAACAGTGATAGTGTTCTCCATGTCCCAGTAGGGCACATCAAGAGTTGCTGAAACCCAAAGTTTTCCATCAGCATTAGAATTTGATTGAATGTAAATGCCATTCAAGCTGTGGCAGCCTTTGCTGTCAGAGAATTAATGGACAAACAATTTGTTACCAGGAGACCTTCTGCTGACTAAAAACAACCCAGTCAATCATATTAAGTGTCTGGCAGTTTGCAACACTGACTTTTCATTTTCTAGGACAGGTAATTGATGAAGAACATTCTGGAAAAGGTTCTGCATACTATTATATAGAAAAAAAAGTGGTGGTGCTAAAAACTGTGTCTTCATCAGCCCAGCATCCTACAGGCATCCAGACAGGAGAAAATGGGAACTTTGCACTACCTGTCAGAGAAATGCAAAGGCCTGTGGAGGGTAATTTGACATTCATTTTTTTCCTGGGCAACCTAAACAGCCACTTGCCTCATTCTAAAGAAAAAATATATATATACACTCCCTATATACTCCCTGTTTGTTTTCAGTAATGGGTGTTGTGTAGGTGAGGTTAATATGGTATTTCACTTTCTCCTTTCTCACATCAGCCCAGTGTTGTAATTGCCTCAACATGGGCTGATGCCAACTGCAGGTCCTACTGATGTCAACTGCAGGATTTGGGCCTTATTGCCTGATTCAAAGCAACTTCAAGCCAATGGATGTATAAAAATGCAAATGACAGTCAACCCCATAGTGTTTGCAGCTGTCCCTTAAACAGCCACTGGGTGGGCTGGGGCCACAGTGTTTGCAGCTGTCCCTTAGTCACTGGGTGGGCTGGGGCCCTAATAACTTTTGAGAATGTCTTTAAAAAAGTGTCCATTATAAATCCCATCTTACATCATCTATGTCTAAATAAATTAAACCACTACTGAAATACTTATCTTCTTTCTTTTTCTTCTTTTTGTAATGAGTTCAGATTTTTTAGGTCAGTATATTTTTTTTGTGACTGAGATATATTGAAATGCATAACAAAGCATTATTCAACTTGATGGAAATCGTGAGATGACAGTTGTTTCAAACCTAATTATCAAAATGCTTTTATAGAGTTTGAACATGTGTTTGTGCATGTGTAAACATTTAAACAACTTGACTAACCATATATTTAATGTATAATAATTGTTTAATATTTACTTGAAAAATAAGTCTGGAATGGGTAGGAGGTTGTATAGAATACTGACTAATGAGTATTATTGGTGATTTCTGGAAATTCAAGCATGTTAATTACAACACCTCTGAATTTTTTCCCAACTATCCTAGTCTTTGACACACAATCAGAGCTTTTACTTACTTATCCCTGTAAGGTTGATATAAAATAGGTAGATACACTTTGTACCTACTCTAGAGATGAATATCTTTTCCTCTTTCTTTTATAGCAAAAAAATAACCATTTTAAAATATGCTGATGTAACCCGGTGGTCCGTGTTTGCCTCCCTTTCTGTTCTGGTTTATAGAAGCAGAGAGTTACCCAGGTAAAAGCCTGGGTCTTTAGCTCTTGCTGTAATAACTTAGGGTGAAATTCTGCCCTCACTGAAATCAATGGGAGTTTTTTCATTTACTTCAGGAGACTAAACTTTTACCCTTCTGCTTTTATCTCTAGATGTTCTCGTTCAATCCCCAGTGTGACAATCAAGATGGGGGTCATCATTCAAAAAACATCCCTTTTCTTTCTCCCCCTCACATCCATTATTCATGGTAGTTCAAGACAAAAGCTAGTATCAGTTTTGGGTTGTGGCTTGTCCTTTAAAACTCATCCCTGACCCAGTAGTCAGCAAATTTTCAGAGTTGCAATTTAGCACAGCCTTGCTCAGGTCTGATGCAGGGTCACATTTTGATATGATGGTGGCTTTTCCATGCTGCTGCTGCTGCTGCTTCTCACCCTCCAGCTGTACTGCAGGCAAAGCTCCTTGCTGCCTAGCCCTGATACAAATGTGGATGAAGCCCCTTGCTGCCAACATGCAGCTAAAGCTCCCCAGCTGTACAGGCTAGATCCATTGCCTCTGCAGGCCCTATGTTTCCAACCCTTGCCCTAACAAAGAGATCTATTACGCTGGTACATTTACCTCTTCAGATGAACAGTCTCCCACTAAGAAGGGGCACAAGCACATCCAATGATACTAATGTCATTAGCTGGAAGATGCAACAGGCAGCCATAATCAGAGCTGCTTTCAAATGAAGGGGAAACTGCAGTGAAGAGACTTGTAGGGGGAAGCAAGGGCTAGGGATTTCCCTTTCTGCTTTAATCTGCTTGCTTTATTACTAGGACATACAACAGGGAATCAGAAACTGGAAGAAATTTAGCAGGATCTTGCAAATGTGCATATTTTAAGGTTTGTGTATGGGAGCAATCCCCTTTCAGTTGGACTACTAGCACATCCTCTTCAGTCGGGGTGTTATGTACTTACTCTGAATCAAGACTTTCATTTTGTCTTTTTGGTGAAATAAAGCCATTATATTTTCTCCAATGTATTTCATTACCAGCTGTAGTAGTGAATTTAGGACACTAAGTGAGCAACTGTTTTAGAGCCTTTGGGGCTTTACCGTATGGTTAAACAATAACATCTCCTAACAGTGAGCATGTTCTGCTAAGTTCTACACCAGGACGAACCCCAGGCATTGGAGGTAATTTCTTTCTTTAACAGAATGTTTCTGTCAGATAACCGAGTGCTCTTTCATTTTTGTACTATAATGTCTGGGTGTAGGTATAAGTGTGGTGTGCAGGTTCTCCGTCTTTTGAATCACTGCCTTAGATTTTAGGGAGCAAAACTAGATAATCCTCTGTGTTAATTCCTTCAGTGGCTTCCTTACAACTCTCTCTTCCCTGGGATCTCATTGTTCATGAGCCACCTGGTACCTTGAGGTATGTAGAAAAAATATGTAAAGCTGTGTCTATGTCCAGATCGTTGAATCTCTCCGAATCGAATCGGAGAAATTAATGGGTCTCTCAATGCAATTTGGATTCGGAGATTCAGCCACCGAATCAGGCCAAATCTCCTCTGGATCAAGTCAGCAACCAAAGCTTTGCACAGCCCCCTGGCTTTAGGAAGGGGCTCAAGGCTCTGTCTTGCTGTTCCCCTCCCTCCCTACTCCATTACCAGTTTTGGTCAAGAGGAAAGAGCTTGGGTGTATGTATAGCTTTGGTTTCCACTAGGATAGTGGGGATTCTCCCAGTAGACACTGAATGTCTGTACATGGGCCTTCCTGAAACCACAACACAGCTGCTGTAATGCAAAGATTTAAGCCAATGCAGATGAAAAAGAATCCAGATCTCATAATAGCACTTCAGATAAGGAATTTGATTATATTTGTTCCTTTTCTCCAAAAGTATTGTTATCTTAAAACTTTCCCACCACATGCACAGGCCTTTCTTCCTCCATATTTTCTCCTACATTTTTATCTGCCTTTTCACATTGTTTTGTCTTTAAAAGTTAGGTACCATTGACAACAAGTTCTGTGTTAATTTTCCATAGAAGTTATACAAACAGATGAAATTTTTGCTTCCTAGAGACGTTTCCTCATTATTCCAAATTGACATCTGTTTTTTTTAATCGTTTTTCCTCTGTAATATTATATTTATCTTCAGCTGCCTGTTCACACCCTTCAGAAATCATTCAGGATTTCAATTGGGGGTATTCTTTCCAACCAATTCTTTCCAACCATAGAATATGTCAGAGGGAAAAGGATAGATAATAATCAGTTGACTATTCCATAATTTTAAAAGTAAGGAAACTAATGCAGTTGAGGAACTTGTGTGGAATAATAATAGACAATTTAGGATTTATTTTTAAGTAAAAGTATTAGAGTAAATCCATGGGAATTTCAGGAGATGATTAACAAAGATAGAAGAATAACTATGAGAGGCCATCTCAAAGGATCTGATCTCCATATAGAGTAACAAATTATAAATGATTGATAAGGAGCACAAACTTTCTTAATGGTAAAAGGACATAAAACACAGATGTCACTTAATTAAAGTTAGGCTCCCCTTAAAACTCAGAGTAATTCTTTTTGGGCACTGTACAATGACAGTGACTTAAGACAACAGAATCACTACTAGCAGGCAGATGCACGAAAGCTTGTTTTTAGAAGAAAAGGACAGATTTCCCTGATGTTTGTGGCATAGGACCACAGTGCATGGGGCATATTTCTAAAGGAAAGAATGACAATCTGATATCAAGCTTAAGTATAGTTTTGGTATGCAGTGACTATTTGTGGAAAAGAAACTGGTAATGATACAAGATAAATCGAACCCAGACTGTTTTTCTACATGTAACAAATACAGAGTATGGATGTGATATGCTAATACCTGTAGAGAAAGTTTGCTTTTGATTGATAGAGGTTAAACAGAAGTTAGTTTGATGCTGCCACAAAATGTCAGAGACTCGGTCTGGACTAGAGGGCTAGAAAACATGCTGTAGGGAGCAGATAAGGAGATAGATGGTTTTCCATCTTGCGCTATTGTAGAAGTACCGAATATCTGTGGTCCACTAAGCCATGAATCCAAGTAAAACATATATTGTTGAAATGTGAAATCTTCCCCCCAAGCTTCAGTTCTAGTGCTTCAGAATGTCAGGGTGTGTGCTGGAGTTGGAACAAGAATGTCTTGTATCACTCTAGCATTATGTTAATTGAAATGTAAGCTGGTCTTTCTCTTCCATGGCAGATGTACTTTACTGTAGA